AATAATAGAAATGCATGAATTAAAAACTCAGTTGTCAATTCAAATCCTATTTATTATTTCACGGGACTTTTTTAGTGGTCCTCAGTTACACGAGAGGTGATGTTCCAGTTTTTTGAATTTTGATGTTTTCTGTAACTGCTGCAAACAATGGGAAAGAGAGACGTTTGAAACATACAAGATCCTGAGGGACCTTTACAGGGTGCATGAGTTATGGTTATTTCCTGTCTTGGGAGAGTGTAGAACTAGGGACATGGTTTCAAAATAAGTGGCCACTGTTTCAGATAGAGATAAAGAGACTTTTTTTCTTCCTCCACGGGCTGGGAATCTGTGGAACTCTGCTTCAGCTGCCTTTGAGAAAAAGAGAACCTCAGCTGTCAGTTCAAAGCCCATTTATTATTTCACAGAACTTTTAGTGGTCCTTGGTTACACGAGAGGTGATGTTCCAGTTTTTGAATTTTGGTACTTGCTGTAACTGCTGTGATCAATGGGAAAAATAAACATTTAAAGTATTTCTTGGAATATTTTTAGGACAGATATTGATGGATTCTTGATAAGTAAGGAGATGAAACGTTATCAGAGGTTAGTGGTAATGTGGAGTAACCAGATCAGCCGTGATCTTAATGAATGGAGGAGCAGACTCTAGGGACTGAATAGCCTCCTCCTTCTAGTCTGAATGTAGAAATAAGAAACTAATCCAAAATGAGAGGCTTATAATTTTGTCTCTGAGCTTTCCATCATTGATTGTGAAAGAATAACAACCCAGGAATCCTTTTCTTAACAAGAAATTTCTAATTTTTTGGCTTCAATCCTACAGTAGCATTTCTGTTCCATTTCCCTGCAGATTTTTTTAATCACAGTCTTGATACAAAGATAAGACTGTTGAAAAGAGTTCTGATTTTATTTGGACACCTGAAGTGATAGCTCTTTAGCTTCGGAGTTAGAGGTTTCTGAGTTCAAGAGCCTACAGAGATTTGAATGAATAATCAATGCTGATACCTCTGTGCCACTCTGTATAAAGTGCCGCTTTTCTGATGAGTTGCTAGACCAAAGCCCTGTTTGCATTCTTAATGCTGAGATACTTTTCATCCATCTATTTCAAAGACAGGCTGAGGAGTTTTTCCTGGTGTCCTGGCCTACATTTTGTCATGATCAACACCTAAAACAAATGATTTGATGCTGGCGGGAGCTTGCTGTGCCACATTTCCTGCATTACAACAGTGGCTGCACTTTAAAAGTACTTTCAATAGCAAGTTGCCAAGTGGAAGGGTCTAGGGTATTTCATGAGAACCTTAAATAATGTTTGGTGATGATACACATGGAATAATAAAACCATAAGACATAGGAGCAGAAATTAGGCCATTCAGCCCATTGAGTCTGCTCCACCTTTCAATCATGGCTGATAAGTTTCTCAACCCCATTCTCCCGCTTTCTCCCTTGATCTCCTTGACAATCAAGAACCTATCTATCTCCGTCTTAAATATACTTGATAGCCTGACCTCCACAGCCTTCTGTCGCAGTGAATTCCATGGACTCATCACTCTCTGGTTGAACAAGTTTCTCCTTTGCTCCGATCTAAAAGGTCTTCCCTTTACTCTAAGGCTGTGCCCTCAGGTTCAAGACTCTCCTACCAATGGAAACATCTCCCCAACATCCACTCTGTCCAGGCCATTCTGGGCAGCATGGGAATGGTCAGCGAAGTTAGTTTTAAGGAGAATGTTTAAAGGATGAAAGAGGTGTAGAGGTATGGAGAAATGTAGGCTGGAATTTTAGAATCATAGAATCCTGACAGCTTGAAAGCAGGCCAGTCAGCCCATCGGGTCCACACCTAGACCCAACCGCCTACCCTAACCCCGTAAGCCTGCATTCCCTGTGGCTAATCCATCTAGCCTGCACATCCCTGGATACTATGGGCAATTTAGCATGGCCAATCCACCTAGCTTGCACATCTTTGCACTGGAAGGAAACTGGAGCGCCCGAAGGAAACCTACACAGACGCAGGGAGAATGCGCAGGCTCCACACAGTCAGATGCCAGAGGGTGGAATCGAACCCAGGTCCCTGGCACATAGAAACAGCAGTGCTAACCACTGAGCCACCGTGCTGGCCAGAATCTAGGGCCTCGGCATCTTGAGGCATGTCCACCGAAGGTGCAGTGATAAAAACATGCAAATAACCATGACTGACTCTAAAGCACTTGGGATGTCCTGTGGTTGTGAAAGGCATGACATAACATTTCTGTATTAAGTTTTAAATTCTTGTCACGATTCCTCAAATTAGCACTGAACAGAGTTTGCTCAGCTGCAAGCTCACATATTTGCAAAGTTCATATCTCTATTAAATTCTTTCCTCCTGCATCTGTTTTTTTTTCCCCAGAGTCTCCAGTCTTACCTCATCTTAGCTTTATGTACCTCCTCTGGATTTTGCTTACAAATCACAGCCCCATCGGGGAAAAAAATCTACGCCTTGCCCTTAATACTACCATATTAGATGTGGTACAATTTCTGCTTCCTTTATAACTTTCAGCCCTGGTTAAAAGATCCCATTATATTAATTGCTTACTCTACACCTGTGATCACAGAGCCAGAGGTTTTAATAACCTGTCCAGTAAATTGCACAAACCTCTCCCTGCTTTGTTGTCTCAAGCATATTGTAATTTAATAAGCTGCCTCTACCTAATTTCATGGCTTTGTCTGTAACCATGTTTTTCATCTGCAGGGTTTCTGCCTGCTGAGCCAGCTTTACCATATCTTTATGGATTATCAACATTGTTAAGCCATTGCACCCAGGTTTTCTCTGCAGACATTGGACACTTTTTTCCAAAAAGCAACTCCCAACATCTACCATTTATGGAACTGCACTGCACGCATTTTTTTCACCCTGGCGGCTTGCCGCATAATACCACCACTTATTTACCTTGGTCACACATCTTGTAAACCAGGCTGTTATGTGGGACTGTCCCATATGCTTTCCAAAGCCATAAAAATTGAGAGAGACTGTATGACTTGCTTTGTTTGTGTTACCTCCTTAAAAGAAGTCTGAAGTCACACGTCACCAGGTTATAGTCCAACAGGTTTATTTGCAATCACAGGCTTTCGGAGCGCTGCTCCTTTCTGAAGAGTTCACCTGACAAAGAAGCAGCACTCTGAAAGCTTGTGATGTCAAATAAACCTGTTGGACTATAACCTGGTTTCGTGTGACTTCTAACTTTGTTCACCCCAGTCCAACACCGGCACCTCCACATCATAGCTCCTTAAAAGAGAAATCTAAAATGAATCTTATTGCTCCGCTGTCCCCTGAAGCCCACTACCTTCCTCTGCATCAGATATGCATCTGCCTTTTAAAAATGCAATAGACTCAATTTGAGCCCTGTGATTTTCCACATTCCAGAAAGAATGAGGAATTTGTGGTGTAACATTGCCACCTACTGGTGTTATAGAGTAAGACCCAAGGATCTCAATATCCATCTCAGAATTGATAGTTTCAGAGCAAGTCATCTGAAGTTGCTCAGAAACTACTTCTGGATGTACAAGTAGGATCTCTTTTGGTTCTTTGACATTTCACCTTGAAAACTTGCCTGCTTTGATTAGTGATGAGGTCCCTGATGATTTGTCCACTTAGAGTCATAGAGATGTGCAGCACGGAAACAGACCCTTCGGTCCAACTTGTCCATGCTGACCAGATATCCTAAATTAAGCTAGTGTCATTTGCCAGCATTTGGCCCATATCCCTCTGAACCCTTCCTAATCATATACCCATCCAGATGTCTTTTAAATGTTGTAATTGTACCTGCTTCCAGTACTTAGTAAGCATGTAGACAATAGGGTTAGAAATTTGATGGGTACAGGAGATGTAGTCTAGTTCCAGAATGTTGTTCTAGATTACCGTACTCCGTGTGGCTTCTCTTGGCTGCCGGTTAAGAAATGAGGTGAACTCTCAGCTAGTCCCTCTCATTATAAAATGCTGAGGTAGCAAGATGGCTGCTATTATTTGAGCACTAATGCAGCATGACACCTGCATATATTTATCAGATTTTAACTACACTGTAAAAATTAAAATGCTCCTGCTGAAACCATAATCCATAAATGGTTTGCTTTTCAATTATTTGGTTTTTTTTAATGACCCTCTCCCAATATGTTTTTAGTTCATCTATAACCCTGCTCTTCTTTTATTCCCAATAGTGAGATGCAGATTTTTGAGGAGCTGTTCAGCTTTGCTTGTCCGAAGTTCCTGTCACCAGTGGTACCAAACTATGAGTCAGTCCATCCTAACTACCACAAAGAGCCATTCCTGCAACAGCTGAAAGTGTTTATGGATGAGGTGCAGCAACAGTCTGTACTGTCCACTATACGCAGGTATGTCCAGAAGTAGCTGATACCAGTGCCATCTGTGTTTATAAAGATGTTTAATGGTTTGTAAAAGATTCCATGCCCAGTTACGTCTGATTAACTTGTCCTGAATTAGCCATTCCCCAGAAATCAGTGAGTACCTTTTTGAGGAATTGAGGGATGAAGTTAACTGGTAATGGGGACTGGAGAGGGAGGGAACTAAAACTGTTCGGTAAAATAAGCTTCTGTCTATCAACAATGATCTCCTTTTCATGTATGCATTTACCCAAGGACTACAGTGCCATACTGAAGTAATTTTGACTCGGGGTGGTATAAATGCAGCTCAGCATTGAAATCCTGGAGTGCGACTTGGCAGCAGGGTACAAGATATTTATATATAAGTTGTCTTGGGGGCTACTTTTTTGGTTTTCAGAAGCTACTTTTTCATTCCTGTCGTAGCTATATGAAGTGTCTTTAATGTTTGTAAAATATCAACAGTTTCAATGCTAATTTCCTTGCTGCCCACTCGCTCTAGCTTCTTGTTACCATCTCTCCCTTTCAGTTTCTTAAAGCTGTATACCACAATGCCTGTTGTCAAACTGGCTGGATTTCTAGACATGACTGAGCAGGAGTTCCGCATCAATCTACTGGTCTTCAAGCACAAGATGAAGAACCTTGTGTGGACTAGCGGGATCTCGGCCTTGGATGGTGAATTTCAATCTGCTTCAGAGGTTGACTTCTACATTGATAAGGTTAGATTTACCTGCAGAAGAGCACTTTTGCATTCTTACTCTGTACATGCTGGTAGCCATTCCTCCTTGACTCTGACAGCTTTTCAACGTGTGACCCAGGGCACGGGTTCCCAAGCCATGGACCTAGGCACTCTTTCCCCCTCAATGAGACCATGGATTGAGGTTGTTATGCAACAGTGGCAGGACAGCCTTGAGTGGAAATAGAGGATCAGCCATGAAAAAGTTGACCCTCCGGTCCCTTTTAAATCTTTCTCCTCTCACCTTAAAAATATGATCCCAGGTGAAGAACTCCCCTACCCTGGGGAAAAGACCTTGGCTATTCACCTTATCTATGCCCCTCGTGATTTTATAAACCTTTATATGGTAATCCCTCAACCTCTTCCACTCCAGTGGAAAAGATATCCCAGCCTCTTGTAATAATTTTAACCCTCCAGTCCCAACAACATCCTGGTAAATCTTTTCTGAATCCCCTTCAATTTAAAAATACCCTTCCTGCAGCAGGGCGACCAGAACTGTACACATTACTCCAAAAGTGGCCTCAACAACATCCTGTACCACCTCAATATTAAATTTCAACTCAATGGTCTGAGCGATGAAGGCAAGCATTATAAATGTCTTTTTAACCACCCTGTTTACCTGTGACACAACTTTCAAAGAACCATGTACCTGAACCCCTAGGTCTCTCTGTTCTGACAGGTAACAAACTAAGATTGAACTTGGGCCTGTGTTGTGTAAGCTGCAAAGTATTGAACCCGGCCTAAACCCACAAGAGATAACTTGAATTTCTGTTTAAACCATGCTTCTCTGTTGATTTTTCAGGACATGATCCACATCGCAGATACCAAAGTGGCACGGCGATATGGTGACTTCTTCATTAGGCAGATTCACAAATTTGAAGAGGTGAGGCTTTTTGTTTTATTTTCCACTTACTGTCTTCATTGAGCTCTCTTCAGGCCATCTAGTGACACGATGAAAGGTGGATCCACCTTGTCCGAGCTCCTGAGTTGACCACAAAGTGGAATTCACTGAGCTGTGTAACATGGTGGTGCAGCGAGCTAATTTTGGAGCGTGACTCACTCTCTCTCTCTTTCTTTGGCTATCTTTGAATGGGATTGTTGGGGAAGACGGTTCACTACTTTCCGGCGAATGTTGAATACTGTCCTCATAGGCCTTCGATATATCAGTGTTTGACGTGACACAGGTATCATAGAATTCCAACAGTGTAGAAGTGGGCCATTCAGCCCATTGTGTCCACACCGAACCTCCAAAGAGCATCCCACCCAGACCCACCCCCATAATCCTGCATTTCCCATGACTAACCCACCTAGCCTGCACATCCCTGATTACTGGGCAATTTAGCATGGCCAATCACCTAGCCTGCACATCTTTGGACTGTGGGAGATAACTGGAACACCTGGAGGAAAACACATGCAGAATGTGCAAACTGCACACAGTCACCCAAGGATAGGATCGAATCGAACCCAGGTTGCTGGCGCTGTGAGACAGCAGTGTGAACCACGGAGCTATCGTGCCATCCATGGTAAATCATTGGTAACCAGTTAGAGTCTTCACTGAATTTGAAATCTTGGCCTTGTAGTGATGTTTACAAAATTTTTATGGCGTAGTTTTGGTATCCCAACAATGCTGTAAATTGGAGAACCCATTCGGGTATAGTTTAGGAATATGCCAGAAAGAACTCCTTTTGCAGCACACGGTGAAATTTTTCTATTTGTTTGTTCAACCTTGTGGCCCCATGATTGCCGTTTCCCTTTTTGGCCATTTTCAGTGGACTTGCATCTGTTGTTCTCAGTTTGAGAACGACATATCAAAAAATGTGTTCTGCTTAACGTCGAGCAGTTTGGCCAATCGAATTGTCAACAATCAGCAGAGGCAGCAGTTTTCATTCTCTACAGAAAATTTAAGAAGAGTTCCTAGTGTTCGGGAAAATTTATTGATTTTTAATATATTTAGCGTATATTGTCCCTTTAAATATGAGGCTCTTCCAGGTGTTTCAAGGCGCAAAACGCAAGATAAGTCGTTGTTTCATGCAGGTTTCTTTTGCCAGGAGCTGCAGTTTTACCAACACTCATCAGTCTGCAAAAGTCCTTCACAAATTGCAATGAAGAGACAGGCCAGCTTATGCACAGCTCTAATTGAAACAGCAAATTAATAATATGTTGTGTATTGTAATGCTATGGACCAGACCTGACCACCTCAAAATATTTTAAGAATGTAGCCCAGACCCTAATTTTTTCATATTTTAAAGGCAAATGTGAGGTGCTGTGATCCAGATACAATTCGATTGGCCAAACTGCTCGACGTTAAGCAGAACACAATTTACTCAATCACTGTAGTTAAAATACAACAAAATAAAGAAGAATTTGGAATAAGAACTCAACTGAAAAACCTAACAGAATAATAGATACAGTAACTATTACTAATTAACTGTTCCAATTTAGTATCCTCCCATAAACACACCTTGTGGCAAAAAGGCAAATTCAGAAAAACACATTTTATCTCACATACAATCCAGCAGCTTAGGAAGTGAATCCCCAGATTTTGGCTGTAATGGAGGGAGGGGAAAAAATAGCTTCCACTACTTCAAGCGCACAACAGCAACTGCTGAAATTTAACTTAAAAATCCTTGATCTGTGAGACCTTGATCACACTCACTCAGGCTGCTTCTATTGTTCCACTTAAAAAAAACAAGGCCTCACAAGTTGTTTATCTTCCATTGACTGCTTGGTGCCTGTCCCCCAGTTTCTCTCTAAACGAAACCACATGATTCTTAAAGCCACAGCATCGTCACAGTAGAGCACTCATTGCTATAAAAGTATGCCAGGACACCTGTTGGGGATGGACTTACTTTACCAGCCAGAATGTTTTGTAACCAGTTTGTTTCTATTTTTGCAGCTCAACAGAAGCTTGAAAAAAATCAACCCCCGGTAATGGAACTTCTGTACCCACAGCAGCCAAACTTCCTGCACCCGAGAACACCGTGATTGATGGTTGTCGTGCAAGTTCTCCTGTAACTAACGTTCTTGATTTCTGAATGGCCAGCTGCATTGCTTGGTTGTATGTGATCCAGAGACCCATTACACAAGTGTGTCAGGGCTCTCAAACTACCATTTATACCTTGGTAACAAATTTGTTGGTCTTCCATAAAATAAGACAAAGAACTGCAGGTGCTGGAAATCTGAAACAAACAAGAACGGAAATTGCTGGGGGTAAGCTCAGCGGGTCTCAACAGAAACAGTCGATGTTTTGGGTCCAATGACTCTTCGTTAGAAGGTTCTAAAGAATTACCACTAGGCTTGAAATGTTGAGTCTGCTTCTCTCTTCACAGAATGCTGCCAGACTTGCTGAGTTTCTCCAGCAAATTCCATTCTTGTTTGTTTGTTTTCTTTCTCGTTTTATACTGTATACAGCTCAAATCTTAGCCTGCTTTTTTTCCCTCAGTGTGAGCTGATGCTGGCAGTTTGTGAGGGATGCTGTGATACTGAAGGGGGAAAATAATTGAATCTTCTCAGTGAATTGATAATGGGACATTCAAAAAAAAAGCAAAATGCCTCGGGCTGTATGTATTATAAAATAATAACTGGTTACTTTATTACAAATCTTCAGATGTGATACAATCCTAAATGAATCAGCACCTCACGATATTCAAACCTTCTGATGCTCTGCATAAATGCAGACAGTGCCACAAAAACACACATTTGCTGACCATGCCTTGACAAATTTTCAGGTGAATTTGCACTTTATGGACTGAAGTATCATTGTCCCCTTATTGTGGACAACTGGTCATGAATGGATCCACCAGCTGCCTACAAACCACCTCCTTGTCTCTAATGCATTCATGACTGATTTCTTGTCGATTGATAATCAGGGTGTGTTTGGATATTCAAAATAACGCCAAGTCTTTCAATAAAAATGTAGTTGCCTTCTCGTCTTTTATTCCAGAATATTAATGGTCTGAGTATTGCATATTGCTGATTGTTGAGTGAAACCAGAACATGCAACAAAATCTAACCAATGTTTGGATAAAATAAAAAATGCAACCGAACTGTGAATCTGTGAACGTAATTTGTATTTGGAGTGATTTCGATAAAATAAATGGATTGAACAGTCTTCCCCCCATATTGGTCTTAAGTTTTCCTCTGGGAAAGCACCAGCCTAGATCAGTTTGGTCTGCTTCTGTGAGAAACCCAGTGTAATTCTAGGGGACAATAGGATCTCTGCATATACTTTAAAAATATAGCATGATCTTTGAGTGACTGATACCTAAAATATTCTTGTTCACAGGAGCCATTCCGATATCCATCCATTCCCAGATAAACCAAAACTCTGTCTGTCTTGGCCTTAGATTCACTGATAATGCATCCACAACCCTTTGAGTAGATAATTCCAAAGAATTTCTCCTCCATTCTAAATGATCAGCACCTTGTTGTAGATTTTCCCGCCATGGGCAACTGAGGCTTAACATCTGTCCTGGAAAGTCCCTCTTGATCTTGAATGTTTCAATGAGATCACCTCTTATTCTTTTAAACTCTTGAGTATAGACCCAGTATATTCAGCCTAACATCAAAGTATATCCTTCCTTCAATATGGAGAGCAAAAATTGTACACAGTATTCCAAGTGTGGTCTTACCAAAGCCTTATTTGACTGTAGCATGACTTTTATTGTTGGTTCATTAATGCCCTTTAGGGTAGAAAACTCCAACCCACCAACCCTGACAACGTCTTTGTAAATCTTTTCTGCACCCTTTCAAATTTAGCAACATCTTTCCAATAGATGTATTTTATCAACAATTACATCCTAGCTGATCTGTATCATGGTGGCTCAGTCGTTAGCACTGCTGCCTCACAGCACCAAGGACCTGGGTTCAATCCCACCCTTGGACATCTATCTGTGTGGAGTTTGCATATTCCCCCTGTGTCTGCATGGGTTTCTTCCAGGTGCTCTGGTTTCCTCCCATGCTCCAAAGATGTACAGGTTAGGTGAATTGGCTATGGAAAATGCAGGATTTTAGGGGTAAGGTAGGGGGTGGGTTGATCTTTGGAGGATTTGTGTGGATTCTACACTTTAGGGATTCTATGTATCTCTAATCAATTAATCTGACTGCTCCATTTTCATTGATAGATTTTTGTTAAGGGAAGTTAACAGCCTTAGTTTTTTGAAAGTTCTAATGTTCCTAACATCCACATCTTTCGAGGGGAAAAGAGTACCAGAATTTTACTAATCTTTTGTGTGGGGAATATGACATTGAGATAGAGATTAGCCAGGATCATATTGAATGGTGGAGCAGGCTTGATGGGCTGAATGGCCTGCTATTGTTCCTATTTTCTATATTTCCAGATTCCAGTTCTACATAAATATGATCTTCTATTCTCCAAGGAATATATTTTGAAAAATCTGGACAAATTAAACAACGTCTAAGACGAAGGATAGTTTGAAATGTAGTGTAAAAACAGAAAATGGTGGAGAAACTCAGCAGGTCTGACAGCATCTGTGGAGTTACAACATGGAGGTCAAAAATACCGTTTATACAGAAGAAAAATCGAAGTATGGCATTAAATGATTCTGATTTCCTTACGGATGACACTAGTGGACAGAAGTTAGGGAAATACTCTTGATCTGCACTAGCTTCAAATAATAGTTAAAAACTTTATATTGAGTGGCCTGGTGGCTCAGTGGTTAGCACTGTTGCCTCACAGCACCAAGGACTCGGGTTTGATTCCAGCCTCAGGTGACTGTCTGTAGAATTTGCATGTTCTTCCTGTGTCTGTGTGCATTTCCTATTATAGTCCAAAAATGTGCAGGTGAGTTGGATTGGCCATGCTAAATTGCCCATAGTGTCCAGGAATGTGCAGGCTAGGTGGACAAACCACAGGAAATGCAGAGTTATAGGGGTTGGGTCTGGGCGTGATGCTCTTCAGAGGTTTGGTGCGGACTCGATGGGCTGAATGGCCTGCTTCCACACTGTAGGGATTCTATGCTGATGGGTTTATTTCAGTTTCACACAATGAGATATTTTTATATACACATTTTCAGCTGGTGATTTTATAAGGAGAGACGGGAAAAATTACTACAAGCACATTAGCAGGGTGTCTCCAAGCTTTTTGCTGCCACTGAAGTACTTTTGAAATTTGTGCAAAGGCAGAACCAACAAACACCAATGAGCTGCTGGAACAGCTAATTTTGTTTTATTGCTAAGGACATGGAAATTCCCCACTCTTCAAATAATGGCGTAGGTTCCCCTATGCCAGCCTAAGAGTTCAGAGTGGCCTCCATTCAATTTGTCAAGACAGCTCCTCCTTCACTTACTGCATTAAATCTATTTGCTATTGTCACTGGCTAAATTAAGCTGATTTGGAGGTGGGGTGGTGCCAACTGCCATTCAGCAATGCACTTTAATTCTGTGCTAATGCAGTGTTTAAACTATAATAGCTGCAATCAGCAGTGATTTGTCTTTAGTCCGTAGCTCAAGTTTTTAAAGGAAAGAAGTCTTCAATTTTATTGCTGGGAACAGTCAGTTTGAATAGAATTACCTTTATTGTCACATGTACTCATGTTTACAAGTCACCACTTACGGCACCATCTGCAAAGGTACCTAGGTACAGCTTCTTAAGCAGAGATTCTTAGGTATAAATTAGAAAAATACAAAATCAGAAATCGAAAAATAAAGGAACAAAACTTTCAGTTATGATCCTTCCACCCCAATCCGCACCGGCACCTAGCCTCCAGGCTACAAAAGGGATAAAAAAAAGAAAATACATGAATAGAATTCATCTTCTGAGCAAGGTGTTGCCAAACACAAATATAGGCTTTTGCAGGGTCCTGCAGCCCAAGAGTGCTTGTTCTGGGCATCACTTCCGCCACAGCCAAAGACCCCCCGAGTCCATGCTGCAGGCCTATCACAGCCAGGAGCCCTCTTCTGGGCACCGCCACCATCGCAGCCGACAACCCACCGAGTTCCCGAGTCCAGGCTCTGGGCCTACCGCAGTCAGGAATCTTCGCTCTGGGCACCACCACCGCCTCAGCCAACCAACACTGCTCCGGCTTCCCTATGACGTCAGAAGATGAAGAAAAAGAGAAAGAAATCACAAAAGAAGAAAAATAAGTAAAAGCAGGGGGAGCAGATGAGCTCTGGGCTCCTGGGCCTAGGAGCCCACATGCTACGCTGCTATTCTGCTGCCATCTTGAGAAAATAATAGAGAAAAGGACCTAAACATTTCCCATATGCACCACTTGTTAGAAATCTGACTGCAAGTTTCTCTTCATTCTTTCATAGGGTGTGGTCAATGCTGGCTGGGCCAGCTTTGAATGCTTATCCCAAATAGCCTTAAAGAAGGTGGTGGGGAGCTGCCTTCTTGAACAACTGCAAGCCACCTGTTGGAGGCACACGCACAGGGCTGTTAGGAAGGAGTTCCAGGATTTTCACATAATAACAGTGAAGGAACAGTGATACAGATCCAAGTCTGGATGGCTTGTCTTGGAGGGCAACATAGAGTCATGGAGTCAGAGAGCTGTACAGAACAGAAACAGACCCTTCAGTCCAACTCATCCATGCTGACCAGATATCCTAAATTAATCTAGTCCCATTTGCCAGCATTTGGCCCATATCCCTCTCAACCCTTCCTATTCATGTACTCATCAATATGCTTTTTAAATATTGTAATTGTACCAGCCCCACCACTTCCTCTGGCAACTCATTCCATACATGCACCACCCTCCGCGTGAAAAAGTTGCTTCTCAGGTCCCTTTTATACCTTTCCCCTCTCACCTTAAAACTATGCCTTCTAGTTTTGGACTTCCGTACATTGGGAAAAAGACCTTGTCTATTCACCCCTTCCATTTGCTGCCCTTGTCCTGGTGGTACAGGTGTTGGGTTTGGAAGGTAACACGATAAAATTTTACCTCAGCACAATTGGGTACAATTTAAAATCCAGTAATCTATCAGTATTCCAGATGTGGTCTCGCCATTCTATTGGCATTTTTAAAAAAGAATTGCAGACATCACCAAAGATCTGAATTTGTCAGTAGAGATAAACTGAACAGCTGTGTTTTATGATTATGACAAATAGGAATCGCAGCTGTATAATCATAGAATTACAGAATGCTTACAGAGGCCATTCAGCCCATTGCATCCATGATGACCTTCTTTGGCAGCCATTCATCTAATACCAATCCCCCTCTCTTTTCTCCACAGGTCTACACATATCTGCTTTCCAGGTAACGATCCAATTCCCTTTTGAATGCCTTGATTGAACCTGCTTCCACCACACTCAGGCAGCACATTCCACATGCTGCTGGGAATTGTGACGCCATTAATTATTTGCTAATTACTTTAAGCCTGTGTCCTTTGGTTCTTGATCCTTCCACCAAAGGTAACAGTTTCTCCCTATGTACTCTGTACCCTTCACGATTTTGTCTCTGATTATTTTATTAAGGTTCCCATGACTGATTGGATATGCTTGTCTGTAGACCTTTGGATAAGAAAGGGATAAGGTAATGGATGTTGAGACCATTCAGTGCAACAAATTTCTTAAAGTCTCTGAAGGTGAATTGGATCCCATTGCCATATTCTATTATTTTGGGAATATGTTACCCATTGAACAGAACTTGCATTGCCGCAACGATCGCTGTTGCTCTGAAATCTTTCACTCTTCAGATAAATGTATATTTTGAATAGTGGTCTGCAATGTTCTGATGGCAATTACAGAGACGTGGCTACAGGATGTCAAGAATTTGGTCCAGAATATTGAGGGGTATATGACATTGAAGAGAAATAGGAAGGTGGGTAAAGGCAGAGGGATGGCACTCTTAACTGAGGATAGCTTTTGGGCAATATTTAGGGATGACCTTGGTTGAAGAGATCAGGATGCACAATCAGTCTGGGTAGAGATGAGGAATGGTAGGGTAATGAAGTCACCAATGGGAATGGTCTACAGACCTCCTTACATTAGCAAACTGTGGAATGAAGTATATGGGAAGAAATATTGGGTGCTTGCAATAAGGGGGCGGCAATAAACATGGGTGACTTTAATCTACATATATACGGGAAAAATCAGATTAGCAGTAATAGCCTGGATAAGGAATCTACTTTTGAGATAGTTTCTTCGAAGAACACATTCTG